CTCCCCTATGTGGGAGGTCTAGGTTTCGAGCCTCAGTGTAGGCATAGATTGTATGGGTATCCCCCTTCCTTTGTAATAAAAAAAAAATAATGAGATGTGTTTTTTTTTTAAATTATTTATTTTGTTTTAATGTTTCGTCTTTACTGGAAAAAAAATCTGAATCCGTCCTTACTTCTTCGCCCCCCTCAACCGAATTTCTGGCTCCGTCCCTGTTTACATTTACCTCGTCTACAAACTTTAGTAATAGAATATTCCGTTAACTCTTTATTTATTGTTAACTTACTCATCGATTTTTATAATGAATATCTTAAGTTTGAACCTCATCGCAATCAAAATTGACATAATTGCTAAACATATACTATGAATATGTTAGAATACAGTGTATTAAAAAAATACAAAATAAAATTTAACATGAACTTTGGTCAATTAATTAGAATCACGCATTGGACATTGATGAAACGGTACACCTAATTTACAGTATATCAACATATATGAGAATCTATGCACTATGCCTATTATAATTGTCTTTTTGGAGAAAGATTTGGTTCTATTTTTGAAGGTGCACTGCGCAAAAACACTAAAATTGCAGTGAAGCACATAATTAGTAGATTAGATCAAATCAAGAATTCATTTATGGCGGAAGTGGCAACAAGAGGAAGCATGAATCACACCAATTAATAACATTTTGTGTTGCAAAAACTATGCTTGGTACTATCCAGTGAGGGTGCTTCCCTCTAAAACTGCTATTGCACCAGTTAATCCAATATTTCTACCACAAATCATAGTTATACATTCTTGAAATATTTACTTTTATGAAAAATTTGATAATCTTGCATTGATATGATATACGCCACGATATACCGAATGATACTTTGATAAATTCTGAAACACTAATTTAAAAATACACATTGGGCATTGGATTAGTATAGGCGCAATGCACGTGTGTCAACTAGTTATACTATAAGAGTTGTACTATGCAATATTTTGGTAAAAAATACTCCTATTATTATAACTTCCGTTATCTTTTTCAACTATTGTTGCCATACACATGCATCATATCGACCATATATTTTTTTCTATCTTCAATAGTAATAATATATAGACATTATATATACTAGTATTTGCACCCGTGCGATGCACGGAATGGATTTGTTGTAATATATTAAGAGTATATGAATCGATATATAATTATTTAAATTAGAACATCAAATATTATATAGTGCAATTAAAGATGTGATTTGAATCGTTTATATATTTTGATGTTATCATTGCTTGAATTTGTGCAAATAATTGCTTAAATTAATAGCTAATGTCTAGATGTACGGACATGGTCCTATAATTTTGAAGATTTTATTTATCATTATTTAGTATTTTCATACATTAGGCAAATGTGTTCGTTCTCTAACAACTTAGTTATAGAAATGAATTGTTATCCTTATTCATTTGTATGAAAAATATATTTTTTTGTCTAGATATATAGCAATTTTTTCATTTTAAAAAAATTAATATCACCGATTATATTTACACATTATTGAAACCTCTTTGTAGACGATATTGGTAATGACAACACAATCTTGTTCATCTTCGTCTAGAGCTAACATCTTTTCCATCAGGATGGGTTACTTGGGTGAAAATATATAATGGTAGAATATCACTCAATTAGTTATCCTTTTATATTTTCAGTCAATTCGTAATATCAGATTCATTTTCAGCCAATTATTCTTTTTTATTTTCAGTCAATTAGTCAATTAGAATATCAAATGCAGTGATATTTTTACCTAACTTTCGTTCCATTTTTAATTGATGATGTAGATGTTATTATTGAAATATTTCCGTCCCATTTTTAATTTACCTTTACTATTGTTTAAAATATGCATTTACTATTGATAATGTAGAATATTATTATTGGAATATTTTCCTCCAATTTTTAATTTTAATTCCATTTTTAATTAAAATGCAATGATGACCATTTTTTCGGTCAATTATATATATATATTTTATTTGCAGTCAATTATTAATATTCATTTCCTTTTATATTTTCAGTCAATTAGTAATATTAGATTCATTTTCAGTCAATTAGTCAATTAGAATATAGATGCAGTGATATTTTTACATAATTTTGGTTCCATTTTAATTTGATGATGTAGAATATTATTAATGAAATATTTTCGTTCCATTTTTAATTTATCTTTACTATTTGATGATGTAAAATATTATTATTGAAATATTTCCTTTCCATTCTAAATTTTCCTTTACTTCTAACCCAAAAAAAAAAAAAAAAAAAAAAAAAAAAAAAAAAAAAAAAGACTTTGGCCTTCTCAAGTATAGTTGCCCACATTGATTTTTTTTTTTTTTTTTTTTTTTTTGGGTAAACCCAGGGTTTCCATCGTCGACACAGTGACTAATCCCCTCGCTAAATTGTAAGCACCTCTTTTGGGTGGGACAGCTGGCTTAAAGATTTAAGGCTGCTTCATTCCCAAATCCAAGGATCGAACCCTTG